ACTGCGCCATGTAGACAGAACGTCTTTGCGTACGTAAGTGGAGGGGGAAAAACACCGGTGTGCATGAGCTCGAAATCGTATTACTGCTTAGGGTCGGTCTACAACCAGTCGTATGTCGGAGTCGGATGTCGGAACATAGCCGATGGTCCAATGAGAGAAACGAATTTTCCTCATTGGACCATCAGCTACGTTCCGACATCCGACTCCGACATACGACTGATTGTAAACCGACCCTTAGATCTTATTAGATCATCTTGAAGAGCACTGCAAGGTGTAGAGTGTAGTGTCTCGCATTTAAAAGATTGAAAGATTCTTCATCAAGCAAAGAGGACTATTAGCCATGTCAGCAATAAAGGACTGTTTTTCAAAAACGGAACTCTTTTGGAGACGCCGCGTGTGATCGAAATCGTAAATCGGTATCAGCCGGTCTGCGTGATGCCCGAGAAAGACATTCTGCCGTGTTCTTCTCAGGGAAAAACCCAGGTTGAATACAAGCATTCGTTGGTAGAGGCCCGACGAGGACGAGCCCGACCAAACAAAACCAATTAAAACGGAGACAAGTGATGCCGTCTCCTGGGCGGAGAACGAAATCGTTAACGACAGAGAGACATTGTATAATGACCGTTCTAGACTGGAGGATGAGCCGACTCTCGGCTCATCCGCCTTCTATAGTGTACGTGACATAAACTATACATAAACTATAGATTTTTACCCGTCTACACCACTCACTCGGATGAGCCGAGAGTCGGCTCATCCTCCAGTTTAGAACGGGCATAAGAGACATTGTATAAGAGACAGTTAACTCATGACAAATCGCACGAAGATCAAAATTTATAATCGGTAGAACGTGTGAACAGATCGTGAAAGATCCTCCCAAATTGGAAACAATTTTGCTCAACGAAAAAAGTAATTCATCGAAACTAAAAAAGAAATTCTCTCAGTGGACCATCGGCTGCGTTCCGACATCCGACTTCGACATATGCATGACTGATTGTAGAACCGGCCTAATGTCACTGAACCAATCAAGGATCACGAATCCGAGATTAATATCACTGAACTAATTGAAGATCACAAATCCTCCGTATGTTTCGATTTGACGTCCAGTTTTGAAAAGTTGAATAAGTTGCGTAATTCTTCAGACGCGAATGCACTTTTTACGTTAATAGATAAAAGTAATATAGAAAAATCCCTCTTTACTATATATATTTTATGCCCTTGGTAGAATTCTTGTTGCCAGGGGAGATTGATCTGTCTGACGAATTTTGGAATAGAGAAGATATAGTGTATCCGAAAGATATAGAAGACCCCTGCGATGAAGCGAGAAGAACGAAAGTCTACGAATTTTAGGCTGGTATTTTAGAAAATGACTATTCAGAAATGATTGATGAGGTAAGAAGTTTGCTTGCAAGATCTGGAGCTTTGTATTAAACAATCATCGATGGACATCAAACAAAAGTCACATACACAATCGATCGAATCCAATGTCGAAATTTCACGTACGATCGATGTTCTTGATAAATTTTTAAAGCTTGTGCTTAAACTAGTTTCTGCTAAGCTACATTTTTTCATTTTTCCATTTATTTACAAATTAGTTTCTTTAAAAAATGCAAAAAAGTCGCCAAGTGCGCGCGCCAGTACAAAAAACAAAAAACTGTGCTACAAAATTGTTGTAACATATCCAATCAAAAATATATAAAATAATTGTGCATTGCAACATGAATGGTGTAGATTTCCGTAAGAAGAATGTAGATGAATAATAAGTGTTGTTCGACATTTCATAATTTTAAAAATACCCCCCCCCCCCCGCACACGTTCTCTCACTTTCGCTTCTTTGTTCACGCTTCCTCGCTCTCGCTCCTTCACTCTGGCTCGAATATCTTTTCTTTTTCTATGAAACGCTACATAGTCTAAGTTATCTAGGGGCATTCCGTTTCACCGAATGTTAAACAAGGATAAATGATGCATTATGCGCATCATGCGTGAAACACGGAATGCACCCCTAGTGATGAAAAGAAATGTGAACTATTGCTTTATTTCCTTATTTTCCTAACCTGATTTATCGGCTTGATATCCCTGTTGAGTCGATAGTCTGATAATCTAAGCGCCTCCTAACTCAACGGTTCGTGTAGTGTAAAGATACAGGTCAGAGGTTTCGTCGTTCGTGCGCGCTAGCACAGGCACTTGACGCGAGACACCAGCGTGTCTCTTGATTCTAAACGAAATTAAAGACGCCCTTTTTATTGTTTTATATAATTAATACAATATCTCTTGTGCAAGTAAAATTGTATAATTATCTTAATGAAATAAAAATTATTCTAAATTTTTGATACGTTCAAGAAATTATGTGTTTCCACTATTTCACGAAGTGACTTAGTTGTAGTTAAAGAAATGATAACATATGTTAGATAAAAGGCCAACTTGACTTTTAATTGGAATCCCAGTTTTAATTGGAGCCGCTTTTTGCAATTAGCCAATTAACTCTGTTCACATTATCTTTGTCAGATGAGAAGTTTAAACTTCAAAACATATTAATCGTAATACATAAATAACTAGCTGGTTACCCTTCGCCCCGGCGTCTTTTTTTTTTAACAACTTTATTTGTGTTATTACATTTGTGTTCTAGTTAGTCTTATCCACCAATATATGATTCATAAACACATATTTTCAATAATTTTCCACATCACCCATGAGGTACTATATATTATTAACGCGTTTTTTTTTAGTGATATCCCCAGTATTTTAAATTCTTTAAAGGAGTCGTACTTAGTAACTTTTTCTGTTCAGATTTTCCTAATCAACTAAATTTTAAAGAATTATATATGAAATAGAGGTAGAAAAAACTGAAGAATATAATAGAATTATAAATAGTCCGATATCTCAAAATTGGCGGAAGTTAGAGCAACCACGGACATTTATCAAAAAATTCAAAAATTTATAAAGAAAGAACTCTTTTACCGATTCTCGCCAAATTCAATAACAACCTTTCTTAAATGATACTCTATTCATCAAATAACTTATACATTTTTTAGGCAGAAATCGGTACTTCCTTCAACGATTCTCGCCAAATTCAAAACAACCATCTCTTAAAGATGACATGTATAACTTATACACTTTTTAGGCAAAAATCGGCAACCCTTTCACCGATTTTTGCCAAATTCAATACCAACCTACCTTTAATGATACTCCATCCATAAAAAAAAATTTAGCTTGATGTCTCAAAATTTGCGGAAATTAGAACAATCACGTAGATTTTTTTACACAGTTATCGGTGACCCCTTTATTATTAGCAATTTTTTGAATTCTATTATATTCCTCAGTTTTTTCCACCCTTATTTTATATATAATGCTTTAAGATTTGGTTAATTAGTTTTTAAGTTAATAACGTTCAAACATGCACCACCCGTAAGAATTTTATTTATTAGTATAGATATAATACTTAAATTCTTCGTCAGAAGTCGAGTGATTCAGTCGGCTATCAATATCTTCCATGAAGTCATTTATTAGCAAAACGTATATTTAAAGAAATCGTAATATATAATATAACACTTGAGTCGATCCTTTGCCAGAAGTTCAGAAGTCGAGTGATTGAGTCGGCTATCAATATCTTCCATGAAACCATTTATTAGCAAAGTGTACATTTATCGAAATCTGACATTTATTGAGTTATATGCAACATATATGATAAAACAGCGCGTAAAATTATCGTAATATATATAGTATATAAGTAATTTAACTTGTTACAATGTATCTTTTATAATTTAATTTAATACACTGATTGCGACGTATCGGTTTTTGCAACACAATGTACGAAGATATCTGACGTAAATGTGAATATAAATTTAAAATTTAATTTTCCGTTAACGCAAAATCCCACATTTTTATAGCCCCTCAATATCACTGTGATTATAACCTCTAATTATCACATAATAAATTAGTTACAGTAATTGATGGTAACCAGTCTGAAATGAACAGTAATACTGTTTTGTTACATTTGTCAAAATTCCTGCCACGTTCGGTGCTTTATGTAACGGCGATTTTCTTAGCACGTGTGTCGTTTATAACGGCGATGCTTTCGTGCTCTCGAATCAGGGATGCACCGTAGGATATCTCACGTTTTCTTTATTGCGCATCGTCGGTCATTCTCGCCTTCATCGACTCTCCTGTGAACGTAAAAATGGCCTTATATTTTTCAGGACTATCCGATGAGTGTTTTTTCTTTTTTCTTGGTCGTGGTGCGCACCACAGATCACCGCGAATTCCGTAGTCAATCTGCTTCCCTCGACATTGTTTCCCATAAAGTTTCCAATATCTCATATCGTATTCCGATATTACTTTTAAATACGTTACGCACTCATTCTTTTATTACTATTATTTTCGGTTACGTTATGAAATTAAAAGATAGTTTAGAACACAACGATTCTTGCTACAAAATATTCGGGGCATACATTTTTATAGTAAAAAAAAATATATATGTATTCAATATTAAAAAATATATATAATTATATACATATATATATATTTTTTTAATACGGCATCAATTAGTAAGGTATGAAAAAACAACAATGGTATTAAGATAGTTAGCTCTATATTTCCCAATTTTTTGTATGATGATGACGTAGGATAATTTTACATTAGGATTATTTTATTACAAGATTATTTTATTACAGTCACACAATTTGATGTGCAATATTGCTATCAAAAGTATTGTTATGTTAAACGACGGCAGAGGCAACGATCACATTATTGTATCACTTTTATTATTTACTACAGTCTATTGCTAAACAATTGCTCACTGCTTAATGCTAAAGAATTTTTCATTTTTATCTATATCTCACTTTGCAGTCTTCTATTGAGTTGTACGTGCAAGTCTGTCAACATATTTTTACAAACGTCAATCTTTGCGAAATATATGCTTTTTATATGTATGCGCTTTTCTTTTATATATATGCGCGCTTTTTCTTATATATCTAATTTTTGTACTAAATTTTGTATTGTTTACGTTATTTTTTTTTATTCCTTTTGACTCACCCACATTAATAGATTTGTCAATGGAGTACTAGTTAATAAAAGTAAAAAATTATGAAATTCAATAAGTATATCTTTTATAATATCGTCAAGCTTTAGACACGATTATTATAATAGCCGTTTAAATGCGTCAATTAATTCACACAACACAGTGTGCATTACAAATTATGCTGATTTCGTTCGAGTTCCTTTGAAGGCAACATCGTAGGAAATTCGTATGTTCCTTTCGGAAAGCCGTTTATCATGAAGGGATAAAGCTTGTGGATCTCGCTCTTCTTATCGGTGAGATCTTCGTCGGTGCACCAAGGTAGAACAAATGGCAATCTGCAAAATGGAACAAACATCTTTTTACCAATGCAATATAGTCTTTTTTTTGCGCCTTCTCGTAAACGCCACGTAAGTTGATTACATCACTGCATTAATTTTTTGCGTTATTATTAAGATACACAAAACGTAATTATTTATAAAAATAGCTATTCTTATATAAAAACTCATTCGCTGCATTTTTACCTTGGCGGTGCGCAAGTTTGTATCTCATATATTATAGTTTTTACGAATGGTTGACTTTGAAACTTTTTCGTTCCTGGGACACGCATCGATGGGCGTGACGTAAAATACATTTTATTATTCTCCAATAACTTGCGCTTTTTATTTACTGACAGTTTTTGCTTTGGATCCCAGAGATTTTCTGTGGATTTAGAACTGAAATCAAAATTTTCTGGATTTAAATACATCATATTTCCAAAAAGTGTGTAATTCCTTCTAACGATAAAGTTTTAATAAATTTGCAATAAAGTTTCCTTTAATGAGAAATAAATTAGAGATCATTATTTGTTATTAATTTTTTACTTTAATAATTACTTTAATAATTTAGAAAATAATGAGCATAGAGCCGCAACATGGTGTTAGCGTTGATAATTTGGTATTTGTGTTAAAATGAACTACAAACGTTTCGGTCTGTTACAAGACCACACTCTCAGTATACAAAAAATAGTCAAACGTATAAATAAAAAATAATTAAGACCACCCAAGTAACACATCACAGTCGAAATGACATCATTTTGACGTCATGTTGACCTAATATTACGTCATTTTTTGGCCAATATGATGTCAAAATTATGTCATTTTGACTGCGACATGTTACTTAGAGGCCTATTCTGTAAACGGTTAACGACATCATTACGTGCTTTGCACAGATATAATATACCACAAAAATGCTGCGCAAAGCACGTAACGATATCGTCAACGTTTACAGAATAAAGGCCTATGACAGATGATTCTCAGATTTTTTTTTGTATAACACACCAAAGGCTTATTCTACAACATGACTCACAATAAAATAAGCACAGGTCATTATTGTCAACTTTACAACACAGCGGTTTTACCAATTTGCGTGATTTCAAATTATTTACCTGTAACCATGCGTATAATATGTCTTAATTATTTTAACCGTTTGACTATTTTTTATACTGAGGATGGTCTTGTAACAGATCGAAATGTTTGTAATTTATTTTAACACAAATACAAAATTATCAACGCTAACACCATGTTGCGGCTCTATGCTTATTATTTTCTCAATTGATTCGTTAATCGTCTGCCTTTAATACTTATACTTTAATAATCTTTTGATATACAATATTAAATAATTTTAATGTTTTTGCTTAAAACACAAACATAAGATTTCATACTCTTTCTTCAAACTTAATTTTAAAAAATATAATTGATGGTAATACTTCTTTTGATAAAAGTTTTACAGCAAGAACGAAAGAAAAGTAAAATTCATCGATGCACTTACAAAATTGAAAAGTATGAACGGTAATATCATGATAATTCTCTATTATATTCTGTGACTTACCCAAATCTACATAAATCTAAATTCGATGGTATATAAACACACGAATACGATGTAACTGCAGATGCGGTTGCGTCGTTTATGAGATTCATTATATTATTTTTCGCAGGCTCTACGTCTGAGCCGGTAGTCGGATACGCGTTTCCCACGGCGATGCATGATTTCAACGTAAAGAGAAATAAAAACGATTCCAATGCGCCCCACATGATTGTTGGAAGTCCTTTAGGCACGCAAATGCACGTTGCAATAAAACTGAAAAATAACATACACAAATATTCTACCATAATTTATCATAAATAAATAAAAAATTTTCTTAATTTAAATTGAATGCAAGAATTTGAGATATCGGTAGATTAAATCTTTCGGTTTATTCTAATAAGTGATGCGCAATATTTCCAGTTAATTTGTATAATTGTTACACAGTTTACAATCTCAGTTCATTAGGCTACGTTTACACCCAGCGACCTGATCGCGGCCTGACCTATATTGTGACCCGAAGTAGGTCTAGTCATCATTTGTTTACACCGAAAGAAACCTAAAAATTGACGGGATCGTATTTGGGATCGCCCTGAATTGCAGCGAATCCGAACAAGCAAATGAAGCTTTTAGGACGCGTCGCGCTTGATCGCGCGTTTACATCGCAAATGATAACGGCCGATTTCAGGTCGGGTCACTAAAATACGTGGCCTGATCTGAAGCCAGGTCCGGTCGTCTATCAACTGTTTACAGCAGGCGGGCTAAATAATTTAGGTCGAATTTGAGGTACAGGCCGCGGCCTAATTTCAGGGTGTAAACGTAGATGATGAGACGAGCGATTTCTCGAAGAAAAACAAAATCTATCTCTCGAATATTCGCCGGCGGGCGAATATTGTGTGTCACGTATAAATACCTGACGCATTATAATGGATTATTAATTCCAGCATCTAAACGTTGACGCGCGCGCTTGTTCAGATAATATAATAACGAAGTTGAAGGCTAGAATAGAAATAGAACTCTTAACAACGATAACTGCGCGCGTTATCACGCGCAAAGTAGTATACGCGCAGAATTGAAAACGAAGGAAGTATCCAGAAAACAAAATGATCTTTTGTCCATCGATCACGAAAACAACTCGACAGTTTTACGAGAGGGAAGGGAGTTCCCTTTGCCAGTTTCATTATATCCTGTCTATTTTATAAGCGCGCGCCTCCCTTTCATTACGCATCCTGTCGTTTTTACTGTAATGCAGAATTATTATTGCAAACTATACGTTGGAAGATAATGCCTCGCGCGCGATGGTATTAAATGAAGATCGCAATTATGTAGACCGGAAAATTGCTCCGGTCCTCTTCAGGTGCATTAAAGGAGCGCATTAGAATGCCTTAGTTTCGTAATTGTATTAAACTTATTTTTAAGCAAACGGTGCGATTCACTCTTGCAAATTGTTAGACGATTTTAATGAAAGATTCTTATATTTTACATTTACATTATTATTTGTATTCTAGGATCGAGTTGATTGTGAATTAAAGGACCCCTCACAAAATCAGGGGAAAATGAATAAAGAAAAAATTAAAAATGGCTATCAGTTTTCTATCACAAACGTATAAACATACAAAATAATGCGAACTTTTGCTCCCTTTCAAAAATCTTCGAGAGTACGAATATTAGATTATGACTTAATCGAGTATGTGAATTCTTGACTCTTTGGGAATCGTACAAATCTGAGACTTAAGCGTTTTCAGTTAACGTTTAAAAATAAGTGAATTATTAACTTTAGACAAAGTAACTGCCTTAATATTACGGACATTAATTAACTTTTCTTAATCGAAATAGTTGTGGTTTGAGTAAAAGCAATATACCTGATATTCATCGAAACTAAATATGTATATCTACGTCCGTATACACAGAAGAACATATCAAATTGCCACAAACATACACGCTTAACACATTTGCTGCCGCGCAGAAATCGCGATACCTTCGCCAGGAGTCGACTTTGTTTTTCGTTATGTTTTGAACATGCACACACGCACGCACACACACAGGCACACACCAGCATGACCGTACACATTATAAGGACTCCCTGCTGAAAAAGCTCTATTAAAACCATTAATTACTCTCAAATAGGTTGTACTTTATTAAACTGAAACTTATGCCGATAGTATAAATAAGTTTCTATGGTTTTTTAATCAGATTTGATAGAAATATTCACATTCCACCCTATATGTTTTAATATGTCTATATTGGTTCCGATTACGCTCAATCGTAAAATAGCAATCAAAATCTTAACAGTTTTTATTGTTTTTATTAGCGTTTTTGAACCATATTGAACCGGAATTTAAAATGTATAATTGGAAATTATCACCGTGGAACGAATATAATTCTAACTGTTTACATCGGGTTTAATGCGAATTTCTCTATTCAATCCTATCGCTTTCATTGAAGTCAATTGGTTCTAGCTGAGTTTAATCATAAAATGCCATTAAAAAGCATCTGGTTCTTAATCATTTTATAGCGTTTTCAAACTATGTTAAATCAGTTTTTATTATATTTGACTGGAAATTATCCCAGTCACCTATCCGAGTAGTAACTGCGCTCAATGTTGCTTGACATCGACGATCGAATGGACTAGTGGGGACCCTCTGACTCTAACACTTCCTTCATGCTTATACTCGTATATAACACATTTTTATAGTAATAAAATCCAAAATTAAGCGACCC